ACAACACTGGTCAACGCACGCACCAAACAATTCAACACACTTTCTTGTCCCGACTCCCACTTGCATCATGTCTGACCTGAGCCCAGCACAATCGCCAGCTGCGAAGAAACACAAGTTAGCCAACGAGAGCGCGCCCAACGTCGACGTTGTGTATGCCACTCACTCTCCTTGATGTGCGACGAACCGTTAACCATGCGTAGGGCCACCGCCGCGGAGAACGAAAAGGAAGACGACGCGATTCCATCAAAGGAGAAGGAGAATGTCTACTCCGGGTAAGCCGCACTCCCATCGCTGCGCCCCCCATTGACGCCGCAGGAATTCTAGGTTGAAAGTCGTTCTTGAGAACGACGAACGCGTCAAAGACCCTGTCGCGCATGCCACCGTCGTCAGCAAAGAGACCAAAGACTCGGCAGGGAACTCAGCTAGCGCTCGGTATGCCAGTCGCACCTTCTCTTCCTCGCGTGCTCATCGTCCAAAGGAAGACGGCTGCAGCCGTGCCACCGACTGGCACCTCGGACTCAGAAGCCGGCACCATTCTCTCAGTCTCTCGCACGCCACTCGGTCCAGTTGCCAGCAACGCTAACGTCGTGTCCACCGCCACGTGCCAGTCGCAGCCACAAGACTCTGCCGCTGCGCAAGGGGATAAAGTCAAGGCCAAGACGGACTCGGAACTTGTGGGGTCACTTAGCGTTCAGTATGTCGCCCGCCCTCCAGCCCTCCCCCGCGTGCGTACTCATGTAGCTGCAGGAAGAACGAGGTCGGGCCGCCGACGTCAGAGTCAGACACAAACTCGGAATCCCAATCCCGATCCACCCTCCCTCGCACGCCACTCAGTCCAGCTGAGAACAACTCTAACGTCGCGTCAGTGGCCCCAGATGCGACCACGAGCACCACCAGGCAGGCCCCTGCGCAGGCTGCGCGAGGGGTCAAGACAAAGGCCAATCGCAAGGTTCCGCCTGTTATATGGGAACACTTGACAATATGGCCGGAGAGGCGGCAGCGCCAGGAGTCGCCTTCGAAGGTGTCGTCCGTCGAGGAGAAGGAGGACCTTTGTCGGCGCTTGAGTGAGTAGGATTCGCAGGTAGTTTTGACTTGAGTTTGGGGTGTATCATGGCCATTATGCGTATTTATCGAAAAGTTTTTGTTCGCGCATTGAGAGGTTCGGGTTCGAATGCGGGCTGGAAGGATGCCATGGCCATACCAGTAGCCTGAAGTACCAGTCCGCGGTGCTACGTGGCAATACTTGGTCTATCGACGCAGTGGTTCCCAGAGGATGGAAATCAGAGCGATAGGGCCAGAAACGCAGCCAGTACAATTTCCTTGAGGACAGCCCGAGTCCTACAGCGCAGACAAGGCCAGAGCACCAGGAAAAGGCGGCGGAGATGAGGGTAAGAAATCAAAAAGTGGTCCGATATCATGATGCCGATCTTCAGAACCTATATCACAAGTACACAGACGCCTTCAAGTTCGTACAACTGCCTCAAGCTGGCATATCGCTACTCAGCTGCGCTTCCGCCGCAATTCCTCGATAAAATACAACGGAAGAATCCCATTCCGCGACCCACTGGCTCCACCCCTCCGAGCGTGATTCAGCGCCCTTTCCTCCGCTGATCCCAGCTCCCGAATATCGGCGTACCACTTGCCCAGCTCCACGCGCCACACCTTCAGAGTCCCGTCGTCCTGTTGCGCCTTGCCACAGTATTCGATCAAACTGTGCAAAACCCGGGCTCCCCAGTCGATCTTCCACTGATGTGCGGCGGAAGGGACAGCCGGGACAGAGAGCATCTCGACGTCTTGGAGGACGCCATCTTCTTTGTTCGCATGGCCGACGAATAACTTGCTGCCTCCGAGAAGTAGGGTTTGTATCGCCCATTTTTCTTCAGGACCACGGCGGGCTCGACTTAGGGCCGGTGTGAGCCGGACGGAGTAAGGGCATAGGACAATCTCTCACTCGGGTTTGAACGTCCTCATCTTGAGTTCTACGTAGTGCTCGGGCCCGGGGTTTTGGAAGTATGCGGCTTGAGAAGAATAAAGATTCAGTATTTACAATCTGTTTCCAAGTCGGGACGTACGTTCCACGCAATCGACCTCGCCGACGAGCAGGACCTTGAGCGAGCCGATCTTCCGAACAACGGCCGTTGAGAACTGGGTCTGCAGGTTGACGGTTCCTCCAGATGGCCCCTGTGGGGTTGCCGACGAGCACCAGGTCTCGAATCTATACCTAGACCGGCGTTCAGGGAGATGAACATAGCGAGGGAGTGCACTTACCCCCGGTAGCTCTCCAGACTGCGAATTCCAGGTCAGTGCGAGCCTATCGCGTGCAATAGAGTAGCTTGCTCAATATACCGCTTTCGCGGACCCTGCTCCTCGATGTAGAGAATCCCATTGTGGAAAGAAACGTTGAGCTGCATCTTCTCCCCAATCATCATTCTGCAGACGTGTCAATGCGAGTAGAAAAGGTCTCAAGGACTTGCTTACTTCTTTACAACCCCGCGCCTTGCAATGACTTGCACATCTAGTAGCGACTCGCTGTTCTTGGACTTGACACACATGGCGAGAATGTCTTCCAGGCCCGTTACGACTGTGCTCCGCTGCTTATGAGTGAGTTTGTTGTACCCGGACTTGACATCGGCGTTGGCTGGGGGGTGGACAAAGTATCGGAGCGCTGCTGTGCTGTCTACTCGAAGTTGGCCGTTACACATGGAAAAGCAGGCGGCTTGCGTCGGTGAACCCAGAAGTGCAGGAAGAAGGCACTGCGGCGGATCAGAAAAGTCGATGAGGCGAGCGGGTGCATGGGCTGAGGTGGACATGAGAGCGGGACAAGAGCTGCGGCGACTTGGGTCGTGGAGGATGCATGAGGCAGTCCAAGAGATGCCGAGCCGCATTGGCACCCTGAATTCCCACGCCGCTCCGAGTCTGCCTCCACGATGAGTGACGCCCACCTTCGCCTCCCAACCGAGCCATCTCTCATTCGCCAAACTCTTCGTGCTCATGCCGACGCCCCAGAGGATCTGGACTCGACCATCTCCAAGCTGTCGTCCGAGCTCAGTCGATTGGACGAAGAGCGCGCCCGATACGACACCAAAATCGACGATCTTCGAGCCGCTCTTGCTACTGCGGAATCCGGGCGTGCTGCCTTGGTTGCTCAGCGCGCTGCTGTCCAAGCCGACCTCGACGATTGCCAGGTGCTGCGCGTACCCTCGGCAGTAAAGCGCCTCCCAGTCGAGGTCCTTATCCCCATCCTCCGGCTGGCTTCTCCATCATACCGCCCTCAGTATGCATATTGGGCAGACGCGGAACGGCACCATCTAGCTCATATCCCCCTCTTCGCCTTGTCTCGGGTGTGTGCTCGATGGCACGCCATTGTGATGGGGACGCCCGAGCTTTGGAGCACGATCGACTTTCCCGACACTCTTTGGAGCGGTCTCCGTCAAGAGAGCTTGATGCTGCTGCTCAAGAAGGTGCTCAAGCTTTCGGGCAAGTCGGTTCTAGACTTGGTGCTGCCCAGGGGCGCAACCACCGTCACGAAAGTCCTCAATTTGTTCATGAGGCATTCTGAACGGTGGAGAACCGTGTCTTTTACGGGTCCTAGCGTGGATCTAGCCCGTCTTTTTACGGGAAATTTGCCGCTCCTGGAGAGCCTGGAGCTGCACGTCGATAACAGGACGGGAGGAGACACGCCGAATCTTCTCGGTTCCGCCCCTAAACTCACGCATCTTGTTGTGTCCGAATCGATGCTGCATTCAATGCTCGGGCCATACCTTCCGCAGTTGCAGATTCTCGAATGTGTCGGCGTCAAGCAGCCCAAAGTGGCTTTGGCCGTCAACTTGATGACGCATTTGTCCACTGGAGCGAAATGTCGTTTGGAATTGCACCTGGGCGTCCACCGGGGCATTCCGTATCTTGCGCCGATACTCTCTCGCGTCGGGACTCTTTCAGTGGAGTGCTCGCAGAACGCCACGGACATCAAAGACCTTTTCGACAACCTCACTCTACCCGATCTCTTGCATCTCACACTCCGCTCAGGCGCCGGCCTAACCTGGCCACACGCAGCCTTCCTCGGCCTCTCCTCCCGCTCCTCCTTCCATGCCCATCTCCACACGCTTGACATTTCGGATTTCGGTGTCATTGGCGCGGCGCAGCTCACCGAATGTTTGTCATTCCTGCCTGCGTTGCAGCGGCTTGAGATATCAGACGACGAGCGGGTGCCGCCCATGCTCACGGAAGACTTCCTTGTCGACCTCACAACCACGCCCCTCCTCCTCCCCGCGCTGCGCCACCTCATCTGCCGCCGGTCTCGTCTCGCATTTAGAGATGGCGTGCTCCTCAATTTCATCCTCTCCCGCGTGCAGAGTGGGGATGGAAAGTTCGAGATGGGTTTGTATTGGATGAACGCGTGGAGGAGGGCTATCGAGTCGGGTGTCAGCGTGCGGATAGACAAGTTGCGGAAGAGCGGGGCGTTGGTGTGGACGTTTGCACAAGCGGAGGAGCTGTGAAGGTGAAGATTTGTAGCAGTAAATGAGCTTTGAAATTGTACTCTCATGTAAATTGTAAAGTTTGAAATATGACGGTTTTGGCACACACGAGAAGGGACTGGGAGCGGGTTAGTTCCTCTCGAGCATCACCGTGCGGTCCGAGTCCACTCAGCTGCAGTATTACCCTCACTCAAACGCCTCGTCTTCTCGCCCCTGGCCTTTGACCACCACGTCCTCTTCGACTTTATCCTTTCGCGGATTCAAGTTGCGATGGAGGAGGGGTGTATTTTTGAGAGGGGTGTGTGGGGGGTGCAGGGAAGGACGAGGAGGCCCAGGCCGTTAGAGCCCGATGTGAGCGCGAGGATACGAGAGTTGTATGCCGGGAGAGTTGGTTTGGAGGTTTGAGCCTGTGGGGGAGCGGGGGAGTTGAAGCGTCGTTCTTGGTGGTCTTTGTAGGTTTTATGTTTCGTGGGTGCATCAAGTTGAAGTGAAAAAAAACAATCTCCCCTTATCATGTGCGACCATGAACTTGACCCGGACTCGAACCGGGATCTTCTGCTTTAGCCTCACTTCCAACGATGTTAACTCAGAACAGAGGTATTGCATTAGACCACCAAGTTCCTATTGCTCGTGGATTCGCTTCTTTTTTGTTGGCACAAACTTCCCGCGAGGAGGCGAGCAACGTCAAGTGGAGGAAAATTGGATATTTGAAGCAGAGAAAAAGGAGGTTGGGTCGAACAAGCTCACGAACTTGACCCAGAGTCGAACTGGGATCATCTGCATCTCTATAATACCGGGCGAAACACCGCTACTCGTAACAGAGTCACTGCGTTGTGCTACCAAGTTCTCCGGTATGTATTTGCCTCGGTGTCCATGGTTAGTCTGGGAGTTACACACGGACTTCCATTCTGAGCATTCATAGACGTCAAGTTGTAGATAATGGGATACTTGCATATCGGAAGCAGAAAAAAAGGGCAAGTCCGAAGGTGAAAGAACTTGACCCAGGGTCGAACTGGGATCATCTGCCTTGACAACCACAAGCTATGCAGAGCAGAGAAGTTCTTATTGTTCCGATCTTTTGGTCCTTGTGCACGACCCCGCTTCCTTATTGCGTGGACTTTCAGAGGAAACATCATATCGCCCCTTGTTATATCTCATACAAATCAGAACGCCTTTCAGGTCCAGAGCATTCGTCGAGTTGAAACCTAATTGGATCTTTGGATCAGTGAACGAGCGACATCGGAGTCTTGCCAGAGGAAGCAGTAGGGCCAAAAAGGAAGACAGAAAAGTTTTTTGAGGATGGCTCGACTTCTACAGCAGATAAATAGGGCCAGAGGTGGTCCGATATCTGATCTACCTCTACACAGACAACTACTTGCAGCCTGCCTCAACCTCAGCTGCTCGACTCTACTTCGGGCGCAACGCCTCGAGAAAATCCACCGGATTCGCGGCACGCGGCCTACGCCATTGATTCAGCGCCCTCTCCCGGGCCTCCGCGGATGCCAGGTGCGGAATAGCAAGCTTCCGCCGCAAGCCCTTGAGAAAATAGACAGGAAGAATCCCATTCCGCGCCCCACCCCATGGATTCAGGGCCCTCTCCTCCGCGGTTCCCAGCTCCCGAATATCAGCATACCATTTTCCCAGCTCCACGCGCCAGACCTTCAGAACGCCTTCGTCCTGTTGCGCCTGACCACAGTATTCGACTAAGCTGTGGAGAACGCGTGCTGCCCAGTCGATCCTCCTCTGGCGCCAGGCAGAATGAGAAACCCGGACAGAGAGCGTCTTGACGTTTCGGAGGACACCAGCTTTGTTCGTGTAGCCGACCAATATCTTGCGACCTCCGAGAAGTAGGCTTTGCATCTCCCATTTGTCTTTGAGAACGGGGCGGGATCGACTGACAGGTGTGAGCCGAACAGAGTAAGAGCACAGGAGAATCTCTCACTCCTGTTCGAACGTCTTGAGCTTGAGCTCCACGTAGTGCTCGGGCCCGGGGTTTTGTATGTATTCGGCTTCGCAATGAATGAGATGAGGATATTCCATTTTCAAGTGGACGCACGTTTCACGCAATCGACATCTCCGACGAGCAACAGCTTGAGCGAGCCGATCTTCCGAACGACCGCCACCGAGAAGTGGGTCTGTAGGTTGACGGTTCCTCCGGATGGGCCTTGGGGAGTTTCAGACGAGCACAAGGTCTCGAAATTATACCTAGACCGGCGTTTCAGAGATGCATGTAGCGAGGGAATGTACTTACCCCCAGTAGGTCTGGGGATCGCGAATGCTCAGTACGCGGGAGGTCCCAATGTCGATATACCACTCTGGCGGACAGTGCGACTCGATGTAGAGAATCCCATTATGGAAAGAAACATTGAGGTGCATCTTCTTCCCAAGCATTATTCTGCAGACACGTTAATGCCAGTGGGAGTAAAGAATGGCAGATCTTACCTCTTCACAATCCCCGCCCATGTGATGACCTGCACATCCAGCAGCTGCTCGCTGTTCTTGGATTTGAGGCACATAGCGAAGATGTCTTCGAGCCCCCTTGAAGTCTTGGTACGCTGCTTATAAGTGAGCTGATCGTATCCAGACTTGAGATCGGCCTTGGCTGGTGGGTAGACAAAGTATCGCAGTGCCGCTGTGCTGTCGACTCGCAGTTGGCCGCCGCACAAGGAAGAGCAGGCGACTTGCGTGGGTTCACCAAGAAGTGCAGGAAGAGGGCACTGCGGCGGATCGGAGGAGTCAAGGAGGCGCCTAGCGGGTACATGGGAGGGGGACATGATGAGAGCGCGACAGGGCTCGGGCGTCATTTGGGATAAGCGACGCCGATGGGTGCCAAATGGCCCCCCGAGCCTTTGAACCCGTGCAATCTGAAGCAAGTTGGTCGCGGTGGAGGTACAAGTCCAAGAAAGGAGCAAGTGATCTGATCCGTGCATTTCCTTCCGAGTTTTCAAGTCGACACACTCACCATGAATGCTCTGAGCTCCGACGCTACGATGGACTTCTAATGCATACCCTTCTTCTTCCGCGACTCCGAAATCAGGTCTTTCCCGTCGACCAGGCCGCCACGTCACGGACCACGGTAGCCCCGCCATTGTGAAAATCGTCCACTCAAAGCCTCAGCACTCACCCTGAGGCCATTAGCAAGAAGATCATCCCAATATGGTAGACTGCGATAAATTGGCGATACATCCAATACAAGCAGACGCTCCACCCAGACCGAAACTACCTCGTCTCAATCGTCACCGATCACTCGTTGTCCAAGATCTTCACCGTCCTGCAGCGCTTGGCTGCCCTGTGAGGCGTCTGCTCTTTGTCCGTCTCCACCTCAGTCTCCACATCCGTCTCTACCTCCTCCCAGAGACGCTTCTGCCCACGAGATCCCGAATAATGCTCGTAAAACGCACCCTCCCGCTTCAAGGGCTTGCGTTCGTATGGCTGACTGGTGTCCTCGTTCTCCTTGACGGGCGAGGTGGCGATAGTCGGGGTCTTGGGGGTCTTGGGACTCGCGGGTACCACATTGCCTTGGGCGAGGCGGAGAGGCGTGCGAGGGTTGGGTATGACAGGCCTCTGCTGATGCTCCTCCGTGGCTTGCTCGTTCTGCGTGGCGGTGGCGAACGACTGGGTGATAGCAGATTCTGCGGTCAGGGTCGTTGACGGAGCTTCTGGGAGGCGGATGAAGACACGGCGCGCTGATTTCGACGACTCAGCCTTGCCTGTGTCGGCTGCGGTGTTGTTCTCGCCTGAGAAGGTGCTAGAAGGATGAGGGAAGAGAGAAGTGGGACAACTTGCCTGGAAGAGGCACCGTTCTTTGCTGCAGTTTTCAGCTTCTCGGCGAGGCGGGTGGGATACCCGTGCGGTTTGGACTCCCTATCGACGGCGGCGGTCTTGGATTTGGCACTTCACGGACTTCAGCAAGAGACCACGGTGTGAGATGCGAGTGTGACGTACCCGACTCTGGCCTTCCCCTTGCCCTTCACAGTGATCGTTGTTTCCTCGTCGTCCAATGTCTTGGGGGAAGAGGTGCTGTGGTCCATGGTCAGCAATGTTGCGAGTCCAGGAAGGAGGGTGGCACACCCCACACCCTCGACGTCGACGTCAGCCCTGGTTTCTTCGCTCACATTCGCGCCGCAGGCGCTTCCGTTGATAGTCAGAAACTCAGAATAGGTCGCAGCAAGTGAGTGGCATACCTCGCGTTCTTCTCGACTTTAATCTTCGACTTGTCCAGATTGTCTTGGTCGTGGTTCTCCTTGCCCTTGATCCCCTCGGAAGAGGTCGCACTGGGCGCTCGGAATTGGGATGGCACAACGATAGCGCTTGGTTCGGTGTTGTGCGTCATAATGCCGGGCAAGTGGGTGGCAAGAGAGATGAATGAATGTATGACCTTGTTTGGTGCGTCCTTAAAAACATGACCGTGCCATTGTTCGTGCGATGCCAATTTGGTAATTCCGAGGCAGATTTCTCGAAGCAAAAAGAATAATCTCAATAGCTTACACCCCCATAAGCACATCGTACAAAACAAGACTACCAACAGGTCGACTCGATCATGAACGCGCCATTCGACTTCACGCGGTGGCACGACCCTGCAGTGCTGGATGCCTCTGAATTCACTGGCTTTGCTGGGCGCCCCCGAGTCCTCGTCCTCGTCCTCGTCCTCGTCCTCGTCCGTCTCTTCATCGCTCTCCTCCCCCTCCCCCTCCCCATCCTCCTGAACCATCGTCTGGATCATAATCGCGCCGTTCGACCAGACGCGCCTCATCACCCTGCAGCGGTTGACGCCTCCGGAGCCCTCGTCTGAATCAGTCTCCTCGTCCTCCTCCTCCAGAACTTCCTCGTAGACGAGCGCCCCCTCGCGCTTCAACGTTTTGCGTTCGTTCGGGAGCAGCTCCTCGGTGGCACTGGCGTCATCTTCCTCCTTGACGGGCGAGGTAGCGATGGTGGGACTCGCGGGGACTTTGCCCGGGGCGCGAGTCTGACGAACATTGGTGCGGGGCGGGGCTGGCTGGGAGGCTTGGTGAGTGCTAAAACGACTGGCTCAGAACGATGCAAATGGGTGGCATGTTATCGCATACCTGGCGCTCTCGCTGTCGGCCATGGGTGGGAAACCTTGCTTGACTTTCGCGGCGGAGATGCTGTGGGTGGCGGTCAGCGATGCAGGGCAGGGTCCAAGCCAGTGAGTGGCATACCTCGCAGCTCCGACGTTCTTCAGGTTCTTCTGCTGGTTGGTCCCCTTGGCTGCGAGCACTTGGGCTCGAGTGCGGACGCCAGTTGGGTTGATATTTCTCGACATTGTGCGGGTAGATGGTTGGTCAAGAGAGAGAGGGTGCTTAACCTTGTTTGGTGCGTTGGTCGAGTTTTTAAAGCATGACCGCGCCATTGTTCGTAGGATTTCAAAATCCAATTTGGGAATCGCTCGACTATTGTTCGTCAAGCCAAGTGGGCCATCGACAACTTGTATGTACAGATTCAATTCGTGCATAAATTCATAAACTCATAAACCATAACATCCAACAGGTACGCCTAAAAGCAAAGCATGGATCTCTTCAAATCCCTCCTTCGACAAACTTCGGCCGTGCCTCCACGGTGATGCTACTCGCCCTCGCTGGAATATATGCCACTTCCTCGC